TTTTGTTATTGTTAGAGTGACGTAGTACTTTTCTACAATATACATTTTTTGTTATAGTGACGTAGTACTTTTCTACAATATACATTTTTTGTTATAGTGACGTAGTATTTTTGTCCAGGTGCACTTTTCCTTTCTCCTGGCGACGTATATTTTTGTTAAAGCTTACCTTTTTATCTTTCAGTGAAAGTCTTTTTTTTCCCCGAGTGTACAATGTCCAGTGACAGAACTAGTTTGTCATGGTGTACTTTTTTGATTTAAAGTAAATTACTTCTTTTACCCAAATATATTCGTTTTACATTCACAGTAACAAAATTATTTTACTCGGATGTATATTTTCAGTCACAATGACAGAGGTATTTTGCTGAGGTGTGTCCTTGTCTGTCAGACTATCGTAGACCTTTTGGTCAGGTTTCTATTTTCTAGTTATAGTAACGCAGTTTTCCCAGATGTACTTTACCTGTCATATTCATGTAGTTATTTTACTCACGTGTTCCTTTTTGCCGTAGCAAAGACGAAGTTGTTTGGCCAAAAGTAGTGCGGTCCTTTTGCCCAAGTGTGTACATTTTCTGTTACAGTGACAGTATTTTTGCCCAGATATTTTCTATTATCATCAAAGAATAACACTGCTTTCGCTCACATGTAATTTTTAGCACAGTGGAACAGCTTTTCTTTTTTTCCCTAGATACACGCTTTTCTCATAGCAACACAGTTCTTATCACAGGAAATACTTTTTTCTGTGATGGTGACGCAATTATTTTATCCAGATGTATTTTTTCACTGTCATACTAACGCAATCCTTTTTCTCCAATATTCTCTAGTAAGCAATGTGATAAAGTCCTTTCGCCCTGATGTACTTATTAGTAGGATATTTATTCTGTTTCTTTATCCAGTGATGACTAATGTACTCTTTATGCCAAATGTAATTTTTTAAATTAATTAGTGTGTTTTGAATTTCGCACAAAGCTAAAGATAAAAAAATAGTAGTAACAAAGTAATTCCCCTATGTTTTGCTTATTGAAATAATAATTTTAAGGTAATTCTCCTACGTTATTACGATACGAGTGAAGGGTTTTTTTGTAAGTGTTTATGTAGAAGAGCGTGAGGTTTGAAAGCTGAGGTTTGTTTGATTGTTTATTACGGATTTCGCGCCAAGCTACACGAGGGTTATCTGCACTAGCCATCCCTAATTTAGCATTGTAAGACTAGAGGGAAGGCAGCTAGTCAAACCTCACGCTCTTCTACATAAACACTTACAAAAAATTAACAGCTTCAACCCTTCACTCGTATCATAATAACGTAGGAGAATTACCTTAAAATTATTATTTCAATAAGCAAAACATAGGGGAATTACTTTATTACTACTATTTTTTTATCAATGGATACTTAGAAGCTAGCAACCAGTCTCTCCATTATAATTCATAAATAATTCGTACTGAACTATTTTACACTTAGAATCAACAGTATTTCTTTTCTTCCTTGTTCTGTATGTTCCGATAACTTTAGGTGCTTGCATTCCAAACAACAAGTATGCTGTGTAGACAATTCAATAAAGTTTCATAAAAAAAGTCTTCAAGCATAACATGCACAATCGTGTGATATGTTTTAATTGTGTATCAACTATGTCTAATTGTTTATTACATTTCAGACTGGTAATTATACGGAATTTATAAAATCAGGGATGAAATTCACTTTAAAAATGTACGTTTACATCGTCAAATACGGTCTCATCCCAGAGAGACAGGCCTGTATTCAACTTACTGTTTACATATTTAACCTTACTGGTAAATATACTTTAGCTTCATAGTATTTCATAGATATACACTTATATATGTATAGATACATACATACACCATCACACACACACATATATATATATAGAGAGAGTGGTCTATGAGATACTAAGCCACACAAACGTATGTTTGAATCTGTATATCAATATGCTAAAATATGTTTTGCTTAGGTAAGTCAGGGATTTTAATGTTAATTTCAAAATTGTTCAAGTTATCGATTTTTTGATATAGATACAATCTTAAACAAATCTTCTGAAATTCGTAGACTCTTTATTAGATTAATGCATTACATGTACGCACAAACATACATAAACACATATATTTATTAGTATTATTACTATTCCATCGACACCTCTTGAACATGTAACATGGCTCATCTGTATGCTCTGCAAGGGAACTCCGTGACACACCAGATAGATATACTACCAGTTTCGTAGTGTATGCAAGGAAACTTTGTGAAACACCAGATAAATATACTACCAGTTTCGTAGAGTGTGCAAGGAAACACCAGATAGATATACTACCAGTTTCGCAGAGTGTGCAAGGAAACTTTGTGAAACACCAGATAAATATACTACCAGTTTCAAAGTGTGTGCAAAGAAATTCAGTGAAACATTAGATAGATAGACTACCAGTTTAGTAGTGTATCCAAGGGAACTCCATGAATCTTTAGATAGATAGACTAACAGTTTAGTAGTGTATGCAAGGGAACTCCGTGAATCATTAGATAGATAGACTACCAGTTTAGTAGTGTATGCAAGGGAACTCCATGAATCATTAGATAGATAGACTACCAGTTTAGTAGTGTATGCAAGGAAACTCCGTGAATCTTTAGATAGATAGACTACCAGTTTAGTAGTGTATCCAAGGGAACTCCATGAATCTTTAGATAGATAGACTACCAGTTTAGTAGTGTATGCAAGGGAACTCCGTGGATCATTAGATAGATAGACTACCAGTTTAGTAGTGTATGCAAGGGAACTCCGTGGATCATTAGATAGATAGACTAAAGGTTTAGTAATGTATACAAGGGAACTCCCTGAAACATTAGATACATAAATACCAGTTTAGCAGTGTATGCAAGGGAACTCTGTGGATCATTAGATAGATAAACTACCAGGTTAGTAGTGTATGCAAGGGAACTACGTGAATCATTAGATAGATAGACTACCAGTTTAGTAGTGTATCCAAGAGAACTCCATGAATCTTTAGATAGATAGAATACACTACTAAACTGGTAGGCAAGGGAACTCCGTGAAACATTAGATAGATAGATAACCAGTTTAGTAGTGTATATCAGGGAACTCCCTGAAACATTAGATACATAAATACCAGTTTAGTAGTGTATGCAAGGGAACTCCGTGGATCATTAGATAGATAGACTACCAGTTTAGTAGTGTATGCAAAGGAACTACGTGAATCATTAGATAGATAGACTACCAGTTTAGTAGTGTATGCAAGGGAACTCCATGAAACATTAGATAGATAGACTACCAGTTTAGTAGTGTATGCAAGGGAACTACGTGAATCATTAGATAGATAGACTACCAGTTTAGTAGTGTATGCAAGGGAACTATTGAATCATTAGATAGATAGACTACCAGTTTAGTAGTGTAAGCAAATGAACTCCATGAAACATTAGATAGATAGGCTACCAGTTTAGTAGTGTATTCTATCTAAAGATTCACGGAGTTCCCTTGCATACACTACTAAACTGGTAGTCTATCTCTCTAATGTTTCACGGAGTTCCCTTGCATACACTACTAAACTGGTAGTCTATCTATCTAAAGATTCATGGAGTTCTCTTGGATACACTACTAAACTGGTAGTCTATCTATCTAATGATTCACGGAGTTCCCTTGCATACACTACTAAACTAGTTGTCTATCTATCTAATGATCCACGGAGTTCCATTGCATACACTGCTAAACTGGTATTTATGTATCTAATGATTCAGGGAGTTCCCTTGTATACACTACTAAACCGTTAGTCTATCTATCTAATGATTCACGGAGTTCCCTTGCTAGACTACCAGTTTAGTAGTGTATGCAAGGGAACTCCGTGAAACATTAGATAGATAGACTACCAGTTTAGTAGTGTATGCAAGGGAACTCCGTGAAACATTAGACAGATAGACTACCAGTTTAGTAGTGTATGCAAGGGAACTCCGTGAAACATTAGACAGATAGACTACCGGTTAGGTGTGTATGCATTTCATTAAATTACAAGAAGTTCTGTGAAGCAGTGTTTTAAATTAGTGTTCAATTTACAGTCCATTTTGGAATTTTACGAGTCTAAGTTCTAATACAAGGTGTACAGATAATGGATCAAAGGTTTGTTTGAATATTGAATTTCGTACATAGCTACTGGAAAACTATCTGCGTGATATATTAGAGGGAGGGCAGCTGGTCAACATCTTCCACCGCCAACTATTGGGTTACTCCTCACCAACGAATAGTGGAACTGATCGTCAAATTATAACGCCCCACACTATTGAAAGGACGAACGTGTTTTGTTACGAGATTCGATCCGACAGCCTGCAGATTGCGAGGCGAGTCTCCTAACCATAATAGTCTCCTAAGCTGGGCCATTAGCTTTAGAAAGAGATGCTTAGCATGATAAGGATGTGATTAATATTAAAATATTAAAAGAAAAACTATGTTGAAATATGTAAGAACAGACATAAAAGCAAACACGTATATAAAATATTTTTCAGTGAAATAATAGTAACAAACATATTTAATAGCATAACCAAAAATATCTGCATAGTAATAAATTGCTTATCATTAAAGTGCTATGGTTTCAATTGTCCAAAGATAACTTAATAATACAGGTTATATGCATTACAAGAAAATAATTATTTGAGAACATTGACAGGTGCATTAGATACTGATTAAATAATTAAAACCAGAAATTATCTTTATTGTACGTCAAAGGATTGTCCATAAATGTTTAATTTTTGTTTGAACAAGCCTAAGCCTTGATGTTGGTAGACAAATGCTGGCAAAAGGTGCCAAATATCTGCTGCTTTAGTTCCTGTGGGTTTTAGTTACCTCTTAAGCTAAACAACAGAAATTGAATTCTCACCTCCCCAATGTCTTGAGCCCTTGAAAGAACCACAGTTTTTGCCTTTAAACTGTTTATAATACTTTGGGTTACATGACATCTAATGATAAATTTACTTATTTATGGTATTATCTACCCCAACTTTTAATAATAATCATTTCCTTTTCTCTTATAGATATTGCCTTTCTCGTTAAAATCGTTGGAACCTATTTCATACTTTTCCAATCCATTGCGAATATAATGTCCATTAGATTCTCTGTTCATTTTCACTGTCTCAGTATTATTTTTTCGGTAGGCCTTCCTGTAGAAGTTAGAAAACATCACCAAAAATAGAGCGGCGTTTCCAATAATCACGTAGACAAAGCCAGGAGGAAAATCACAGTCAAAGTAAAGAGGAAGAAGTCCGTGAATAAAGGCTACAACAAACTGGGCCTAAAATGAGACAAAAAGTAGAGGAAATAATAATCAACTAAATTTGTTATCTTGATTTTTTTTCAACAACATTTATTTTCATACTTTACTCTATTCTGTTTTTGTTATTCGAAAAAGAAAGAAAGAAATGAGAACGAAATTGTGAATATTTCATATCTTTAGTTTAAGTAATAATTTTAATCCTGCGAAGATCAAATGTAAAGTAATTTTCTATATCAGTGACATGCCTTAAAAAGCAGATAATTTTTAGAGTGATTTATTTTGAAATATATATGCAAGGTTAATGAGAAATCACTGGAGCGTGTGAAGTGTATTCAAAAGTATTTTGTTTACAGAACAAAGAAAATGAGCATGCACTATACATCCTATACTATTTAGAAAAATAAAATACTATGTCTACTAAAATTTAATATCAATTCTAAGAGCCCTGAGTGCAACCTATGGAAAACATGTTAAAATATATCAACCACACTACATCTGCCATATCCAGTGTCGATGAGGCCTTCCGCCGAATACCAGGGCACATCGATCCGGCTGATATAACTATATTATTTTCAAAAAATAGACAGAAATGTCCCTCAGCTCGTGCAAATGCATCTCAGATATCAATGCGTTTTTATTTTATTGTATTAACCTACATCAAACTTTACAATCTACTGAGACTATTGTTATGCACAACTTGTTTGATCTTTAGTAGCGATCAGAGCATTCAAGACTTTAGACAAATGACGAACTTATAAATACCTTTTCCGGGAATTTTTAAAAGTTTGAATTACACATCAAGTATTAGTCAGTGAAATGTAAGTGAATATGTAGTCCTTCAGAAACAATTACAAACAAATATACTCTTTCAGATCCAATTTAAAGCGTCTGTATTCACTTATATCACATATATGTAGATATATATCTAAGCAGAAAAATGCGAAGGTAATAAAATAAAGAAATTAGACTTTTAAAGAAAAATCACCTTTAAAATCTATGGTAGTAATTTATTTACTTAGCGACGTTTCGAGCAAATGCTTTTTTCAAGCCAGAAACAGGAACGTTTTGAAATGAAACAATACACGAACATAGAATGTAACACGAGATAGAACTACGAGAATTTAATAATACAGTAAAAACAGTATAATAAAGCTGGTGATTAAAAAATACTATTACAAATTATTAGAAATATGGAACAACTTTGCATAGAGAAAAAGAAGAGAAAGAATTTAAACATTTTAAGGTAATAAAAGAAGGGTATTTCAAAAAATTATAAAAAGCTGAACCATCATTAGTACCCAATGGACTTAAACAACCTAATTTAAAAAATATATCTTTTTCGATTGTAGTTCTTTGATTGGTGTTGGAGGGGGGCATGACGTAAGGCAAGTACTTTAAAGTGCTCGAGAGAATGATCAGCTTTGTTGAAGTGTCGAGCTACAGGATTATCTTGATATTTAAACAAGATGCTACGTAAGTGTTCTCGTGCACGTTCAGCGAGCATTCTATTGATTTCTCCTACGTAGATTTGGTTACAGTTATTACAATAAATTAAACTTATAGATATACAGGTGAAATGGTTATTTACGGAAAACGTTGATTTAGGTCCTCTAACAGATGTTTTTGGTTAATGTAAGGGTAAGTGTTGCATCTGTTCCTCTAACAACTGTGCGTACCAACGTAAGTAGCAGATGATAGTTGTATGTTGTTCGGAAGTTAACTATGGACGAGTAAATCTTTAATGTTAGTGCCTCGCTTATAAGGAATTAGAGATTTATTAGGGAACATGTGACAAATGGTCTTGTCCTGTGTTATGATGTGGAAGTTACAAAACATACGTGTTATTTGTGCGTTGAATGGGTGAAACGTAAGCGTAAGGGGAATGTGTTTGTGATCAGTGGAAGTAGGAATGCGTTGGTTGAAGCGAGGTTGGACGCGTTTAGTTGGAAGTTTTGAATTGTCTAAGGTGTTGGTATTATGATTACTGATATAATTTAAGCTAGGCAATTTCTGAAAAGCTAAATTAGAACGTTTATTTTTAGTATAAAGATTAACTTTATTGTGATGAAGAAAGAGAAGTAGGTTAGTTACGTTTTTCGAACAAATGAAACATGTTGACAGATTTGCTATTATAATCCTGGTCGTTGCGGAAGAGTCTATGCAGTCTGGTGAGTTGTGATTTGGGAATATTTTTCTTGGCGTATTGAGGATGACTGGAGTGAAAATGTAAGTAGCTATGTGTGTTTGTAATGTACAGACGTCGCAAGATTGCCATCATCAGTCACGAAAATATTTCTGTCAAGAAATGAAATGGTTTGATGAGTAACAGAAGACATGTATTGGAGTGATGGATGAAAGGAGTGAATGAACTAAACAAAAAGATTGAGTTCATCATCAGTGCATGTAGCTGTACCGAAAACATCATCAATATGTCTACAATATAGAGCATGGAGGGTATCTGTGTAGTAACAAAATATGTAATCTTCAATGTAACCAACAAAGAGGTCAGCGTAGGAAGGACCCATTTTGGTTCTCATGGCTACACCCTTCACTTGTTTATAGAATTGACTGTCAAAAGAAAAGGCATTTAATGATCAAACTAATTCAACTAATCTAATCAGGGTTTCAGTAGGTGTGTCTAGGGTATATTTTCTGTCAAGGTAGTGTTTTAGGGCCTTGAATCTATCTTCATGTGGAATGGAGGTATACAACAGAAATCCAGGGGTTCTTCGACAGACATCCAACTAATTCTCTTGTCAAAATATCTCAGGACCTATAGCTAATGGAAAGTGAGATCACTATTCTAAAGAAATGTCTAAATGTTGTCCCTGTTTAAAAACACTAACTCGCATATTATTTTTTTACCGTTTATGTCTTCAAGCACATTTCTAACCTTCAACTACACAGCGTGGTCACAAGTAAATAGACACCACCTTTTCAGAAAAAAAAATGAAATTTTTCAGTCATATTCACATGAATTGATATATTTATAATTTAATTAATATCTAGTAGATCTTCCTTTCGCTTCGTGGAGTTCGATGATACTTTGGGGCATCGTGAGAATCATCTCGTCAATTTTAGATTGTGGGATTTTCGCGCACTCTTGCTTCAAAACTTGTAGTAGATCGCTCTTCGAAGTTGGTTTTTTTGGTTGTTTCCTGACTTGCCGGTCGCGTATGGCCCAGAGGTTTTCGATGGGGTTCATGTCAGGAGATTGGCTCGGCCAGGGTAACTTCTGGATACCATTTTCTTCCTGCCACTTTTGGGTGTTTCTAGCAGTGTGACACGGTGCTCCATCTTCCTGGAACAACGTTGTGTTTTTGTCCACGAAACCCGAGGAATAAAGTGGCAAGAGTCCTTCCTCCAGTATTTCGCAAAATTGATGTTGCCAACGCATTCCACTAAGCTCGATCTCCCACCAACCCAAACAGCTCACCAAACCATCACGCTGAAACCACCATGCTTCACAGTTGCCTGCAATCTGTTGAGC